GGACCAACTTCAACTCAAAGAAAGTGGCTGTCTTGACAGCGATTAGGTCAAGTTCAAACAAGCTGTGCTTCTTTGTGGATCTCAAGAAAGCCAGAGGATGAGCACACACACACGCACACACACACGCGCACACACACACACATAAAGCATCTTTGAAGGCAAAGCCATTTCTCCTTCTTTAGCACGATGGTGGTATTTCTTATTAACAAACACTAAAACAAATCAGCACGAATGACACTGAACTTGCTGTGATATAAAGACGTATTTGGATGTCTTTATCTATTCAAAGTTAATCTGGATGTATTGGTAAAGACAGTGTTCATTAGAGTTGCCATTTTAATCATCTAAAATTCAAATTTTCAAAAGCTAATCACATTTTGTGGTGCTACAGGTTTGACATACATAAACCTCACAGAGTTAACGTGGATCCATTTCCATGTTTAGATTCTTGTGCTATGCTAAAGTTACTTAGCAAGAAGCCAGCAATTTCACAAATACCATAAAGCTGAACCAAAATGCTTCTATCCAGGGAAACAAAAATCTATTCAAATCACATAAAAAAATTTTTTATTCATCTTGGTGTAGATTCTCAGTTTATGAAAAAAGCTATTTATATTGTCTCTTTAAGACCACCTAACTTTTAAAGCAGCTTTGTACTGATTAGCTGCCCCTTACAAACAGAAGGTTTGAACAGAAGGGATGGTGGGGGGGGGAATGATTTCCCTGTCACTGACATAGAAACTGAATACTGGAGTAGTCAGAAGTCTCAGCTTTTGGCTTGGAGGAGTTACTTGCATATCCAATGCTGTGCTCGACCACTTCCTGACTTTTTTGTTTTTTTACATTGATCTGAAACATGTCAGTGTGGTAAACAAAATTTAATATTAGACAAAGATAAGCTTAGTAACTACAAAATGCAGTTTTTAAAATTATTCATTTATTAAGGGGAAAGAATGGTTTTAAGTCCAGACTTTGTTAGGTCACATCACAACCTTCTTCTTTATTTTTTTGAGCCATTAAGTGGTGGACTTGGTGGACTGTTGTGTTTTGGATCAACGTCCTGCAGCACAATCCAAGTACATTTGAGCTTAAGGCCACAAACTAAAGGCCAACCATTCTTCTTCGGGATTTTCTGGTAGAGAGCAGACTTTAACATTCCATCAATTATGGCAAACTGTTCAGGTTCTGAAGCAGGAAAGGAGCCCCACACCATCATACTACCACCACCATGTTTGACTGGCATGATGTTATTTTTATGAAATGTGTTAGTTTTACTCCAGATGTAATGGGACACAAACCCTCCAGAAAGGTTAGTTTTTGTTTTATCAATCCACAGAATAATTTCCCCAAAAGTCTTGATGATCATCAAGATATTTTTTGGCAAATGTGAGATGAGCCTTTGTGTTCTTCTTGGTCAGCAGTGTTTTCCCCTTGGTACTCGCCGATGAATGATATTTTTGTTCAGTCTCTTTCTTATCGTTGAATCATGAACTCTGACTTCTCCAGTTCTTTAGATAATGTTCTGGGTGCTTTTAGTGACCTCCTGGATGACCTCCTGGAGTCATTTTGGTAGGCCGGCCACTCCTGGCAAGGTTCCCTACTGTTCCACGATGTTTCCATTTGTGGATAACGGCTCACACCATGTTTCACTGGAGTCCCAAAGCATTACAATTGGCTTTGTAACCCTTTGCAGACTTATTGATGTCATTAACTCTGTTTCTCAGCTGTCCTTGAGTTTTTTTAGATCATACCACTGGTAAGTTTAAATAGCTTTGTTCCCCCTTAATAAAGAAATCATTATTTAAAAAATACAAATAACTGCATTTTGTATTTAATTATTTTAATCCAGTTATCTTTATCTAATATTTAAGTTTGTTTGATGATCTGCAGCATGAAACCACTATGGAAAAAAAAAAAAGAACAACCAGGAAGGGCAAATACCTTTTCATAGCATTTGACCTTGTCCATGGTTGTTAACCATCTACCATTGTTAGCCTACATGAAAGAAAAGCTTCAATGCATCAGTCTCTCATTGCTATCAGAAGAATGTCCTCAGGAGTATTAAGATATAAGGACAGGTTATTAATACCCTTAAATTACTTTGTCCTACACAGTAATTTAATGGGAAGCCAGCAATTTCACAAATACTATAAAGCTGAACCAAAATACATCTATCCAGGGAAACAAAAATCTATTCAAATCAAATAAAAATTGTTTATCAAATAATCAAACTACTTAACTGTAATATGTTTGAAAAACACAGGTGAAAATAATAAAACTAATAAATAAAATATTAAACTTACCTCCTGATACAGGTGCGTCCATAAAAACGGCCCCCATCTTCTCAGCATCAGCAGCCATTTCTTTTGACACAGCTGGGTCAATAGTGCTGGAGTCAATGAGTAGGGAGCCTTTCTTTACCTTTCTGTTGATAAAGGTTCAATAAGTTTAGATAAATCTGAGATAAGAGATAAGGGAGCATGACATGCAGCACATATTCAAAGAGAAGCAAAAATAGTACTTAAGAATGCCATTGGGTCCGGTGTAAACGTCGATGACATTGGGACTAGAGGGGAGCATTGTTATAATACGATCAGCCTTCTCTGCTACCTCAGCCGGATTATCCACAATCTGAGGAATAAAGACCCCGAAAACAAACAGGCACATACACAAAACAAAAAAAAGTGTTACAAGATGTACAATCATTTTATTTTTTTAACACAAAGATGCGCGAACATTCAGCTTAGACTACCTGAGCACCCAGCTCTTGCACTTCCTTGCAGGACTCTGGGAACACATCGGTAGCAATGACTGGGTATCCATGCTTCAGCAAGTTCTTCGCCATTGGGTTTCCCATATTTCCCAGACCAACAAACCCCACCTGTGTCTTTGAGGCCATAGACCTTGTGGATACTGGAAAACAACCACCAAATTGAAGATTACAAGACACATTGTCCCCGTTATTTATGCGGAGAAGTAATTTAATTTTAATAATTACCTGAATTTCAAATTACAAAATTAATCAATTTTATTTAAATATATATTTAGATTGAAATCTTCCCTAAAACACAAAATATATTCAGTCCATAGTGCATTTGTCCTGCAGTATCAAAGTACCACCATTTTTAATGTTTACTTAATTAAAGGGCATCATTCCTAACACAAACTTATTTCAATGTTAAAAGTTACGTGTTGAATAAATACCATTGTTGTGCCTTGGTATTAACATTAAAAACAGATACAACACATGCCTGTCTGGGGGAATTTTAATTACTGCGTTTTGTTTATTCATATTCTGAATAATATATCTCTATGCTATCCAAAAGACAGCATTTTTTTTTTCAAATATTTACATTTCTCCCCCCTCATCAGTTTCTCTAAACAACTGTAAGATGTTATAAAGATGCAGACCATGTCTATGTCTACAGTGTGTAGTGGTAATATTGCATAATGTGCCTTGGATAAAAAGGCAAGACACGGTAAGACGTGAGACCAAACGATGACAATTTTTGTCCTGGACCGTTTTGAAATAATGAGTAGTGTGTAGCTCTGGTAGACAACTCGCCGTCAAGGAGGGTGTAATCTTTAACAAAAAAATATCCTTAAGCAGTTAATCGTCAACAGAATGCCCTGCAGCAGCTAAACTCAGTCCAGCGAAATTTCTACTCAAACTTCTCTCTCTACATTTCAAGAAAAAATACCGTTTTCACACCACGAAGATCCTTCAAAGAATAACTTTGGGTTGCAAAGTAGCCGAGGCGCCCTACGCAGTGCGCACACGGTCTCAGTTTACTGTACTTACCAAACACAAAGTCAACATGCTTGCAACACCTTCCTACTAGATATCGAGACCCCCTCAACACAGCAGCCATACTTCTTTCCTCTTGACCTTACGTGTGACGTAATAGTACGTGCAATGATGACGGCTGAGCCCTCCAATCAATTGGAGGGCTGCACAGTACCGCCTACCGGTTTCTGCCACTGAGCTACAGGGGAGGATCAAGACTGAAAAAAAAACGTCCATTCTCTTCCGCTTATGCTTAAAACATAAATAAATAATAAATAAAAATAACAGAATGCCCAACAGTTCACATCGCATACTATATTACATCTTGTATTTTATTTATTCTATTTCTTATAAATTCAATTCTATTCACGGTGCCTGTGGGAAGTAACCTATGTATTCTGATTAAAAAGAAACTAACATTCTATATACACACATATACTCGCTCTTTATGAATATATATCTAGAAGTGTGCCCGATTACGCACATGTGTTTTCTTGCAGATGACCAAAGCCACAGCTCCACGGTGTTGGAAGAATTATTCAGGTCCTGTAAATAATTATGCCAGTAAATAACTAATATTAGTATTTTTTTGTTGAAGAAAAATTGCCATTTTACGCCTAAATATTTTATTATATAACTACATTGCTGGTGCTGTTTTTAAAATACATAGTAATCATTTGTTTGATACTTTGTTTTGATCTTGGGAGAAACATAAACGAATCCCACTAAAGTAAGGTGTGTCGTGTGACTCTACACATTGCTACAACATTATCATCGATGTATTCTTTGTAACAAAGTTATTAATTATAATGTCACAATTTCTCCTCTTAGTGGCCCTTTACGGAAATGACGTAATGTTATTATTCCAGGAAGGGGGCACGGGGAAAGCACTGAACTGCGTCAACAATTGTTTCTGTGATACGTTGGGATTTCAGCTGCTGCCCAACATGACAACTAGGTATGTTCATGGTTTATTTGATAATTTAGATTAAGTATACGACTCTTGGTATTTCAATCTGATCTGCGTCTGTTTTTAGAGGTTTTCTCGCGACACATCGTCGCGAGCTGTTTACGTTAGCTTTAACCTTGTCCCCAATAGCACTGCTCTCTCCGTGTTTAATCTAACGCCATGTATTAAGAGAGTTAAAATGGATATGCTACCGAATGGTTAGCGTTTTTTTTTAGTTTAGTTCCATTGTTTTGTGGTTATTAGTCTCCTAAGAAGTATGTTGCTAGCATTAGCCAGTTAGCTGTATAGCTAACTTAGCCAGATGTGGTCAATGTTTTCAAGTTAGGCCTCGCCACGGATTCAGCCATTTCCATTTGCGATTTTTTTTAAATTTGATGTTATACTTAGGGTTGATAACTTTTTCGATTGATGTGGATTATGGCTGTGTTGGCTGAATTTCCGATCATCGACTGGGGAAATGTTTTGAGTCAAAGGCCTAATTACGTCGAAGAAAAATATTTTGGCTAAGGCCCAAATGGAAAATCCCTCCCCCTTCTTACTCACGTGGCCGGGTTTTTATGTTGTTTAACTTGGTGGTAGTAGGCCAATAAGCTTTGTTTTTCTCTAGTTTTTCTTATGAGTTGGCACTGTGTCACCTCGCGTGCTAGGATATATCGTCATTAAGAGGCACAATTTAAAATTCAGTGGTAACCCCTCGCGTATTAAAAGAGTAGATCGCGTATGAATTGAAAGAATGTATTCAGTATCTAAAATGTGGCTAAGTATAAATTACAACGGAGCCATGCTTCATCCAGGCTTATAAAGTAGATTTCCTGTTACTTTACACTTACAAGAAGAATACCCGATCTCCCGGATTGTTTGCAATAAAAAAACCCCAACAAGTGTTTTTGTTTGTTTGTTTGTATTAGATCGTTTATTACAAACTGTATTAATTTGAAAAATTACTTTCGCGTGCAGGTAAATTGATCAGAGGTATATACAAAGTACAAATTAAAAGACTGCTGGGTAATGTGTTTTCGAGCTTTGGAGAGCTTGCTTTGCTTTGCTTTCAAGAAAATAAATGTTTAACTAAATCTCAAGGATACTATCATATTCTAATAGGCTTTTCTATGCCTGTCTTTGTTATCAGAGTAACTTTGTTTCAGCTTTCAATATTTACTCTACTGTGTCAGGGCTTTTTCTTGAGATTAACATCCTGAGATCAACTGAAATGTATAATCAGCTCAGGACACACTCCAAGGGCTTTAAAGCTGACCCTAAACTGTGTGTATAGTTATGAGTTGGTTTCTAGGGGTGCAACGATACACAAAATTCACGGTTCGGTTTGATACTTTGGTGTCACGGTTCGATATTTTTTCGATACAAAAAAAATGTTCATGCCTTTTTAATTTGTCATTTATTAAAATTATAAATATATATTTTAACTCAAAAGTACAGTTTTTAAATTTAATGTTGCTGAAACAACAAAGTAATAAAAATAAATAAATATGTCTGATTGAGGAATCACTCATCTTTGGAAAAGA